GAAGTCATTACCGTTTTGCTTGTATTCCATGAGATGTTGCATTTTGCTTGTATACCGTGAGATGTTGCATAGAACAGCCCATTCGCAAGCTTTTTTTGTCCTCTGACAAAAGGCAAGGAACCCATTGCGCACAAACTTTGCTGTAATCCACTTTGTGTGATGATACTATGGATAGGTTACTCACACCAACGTATTCAGAAAATGCTCTGATTGAAATACAAGGTGCGGCAGAGAGGATGGACGGTTTTAAAAAAATCATAAAATAGTTAATTTTTACTCGAAAACAAATTTATTGATGGAATCAGGTTCACAAGGAAATAGCATTTGAGACAGTCAAGTGTGGAAAATCACATCAGGCATGTGGTGGCCGAAATCGTTGATGCAGTGCTGGAGGCGTTCTTGGAAGTTCGCGTAGACTCTCTCCAACATCGCCCTCTCAACTTGGGCGACTTCCACGCGAATTTCGCCCTTCAATTCGTCCAGAGTTCGGGGCTAGTGGCTTGTGAAAGTGGGCTTCGTCACTCATAAACAAAATGAGGTTCTCATTTTGATCGATCAGTGCTTCCATCTCACGTGCGAAGTTCATTCATTGTGCATAATCTCCGGACTGTAACTGTTGCACAATGGCCAATTTGTAGGGATGAAAGCGGAGATCCATATGCAAACTTCGCCTTACCGAACGATCACTAAGGCGAAGTGCAACAGCATGTTTCCGGGCAGATCGAGTCGGACTGCGAAGAAAGACCTGCCGAACGCGTTCAACATTTTCAGGAGTTCGAACTGTTCGCGGCGCTCCTCTTGGTCTTCTGTTGATCACTTCACCACGCCTGCGAAGTGATTCAACCCAACGAAGGATGGTGTTTCGAGAGGGAACAGCTCTATTCCGATGAATGTTGAAGTGGCGACGAAACTCACGCTGTACGACGATGACAGACTCATTAGTTCGGACGAAACAATCATAGGCGAAAACGCGGTGCTCCACCGTCTAAGGCTCCATAACGACAACTGGTGAAATAATGCTAGGATCTCAACGAGTCAAACGGCACCCTCCCCACCTCTCTCGTAGACGGAGGCGGAGAGTACTACCCATCCCAAAAACGTCCGTCCTCTCTGCCGCACCCTGTATAACGATTTTCTCTAAGCATGCCTTCCACACATGCCACATTCGTGTCTGTTGATGAAGTATTCAATGCACCTGGTTACTGTCATTTGCCTCCTCTCTTCCACTCTTAAATTTTCGACACCATTCCTTGACAGTTGGATAGGCATGACATGCGTTTCCTTACACTGCTTGCATTCGCGTATGAATTTGCAATGGTTGCAAACCTATATTTGGACGGATTGTTAACAAAAAAAAAAACGCCATTTTTAGGTCACAATTCTTGAAATCGCAGTTAAATATAAATAATAATAAATTACAGGAACTGATCAGTGTGATATGTAAAAACACAACTAACATTACAAAATGCCAGTTACGAGATTAGAATTGTTTCCAAGGCTAACGTGACCAAAAATGGGTTTCAATTGAGCAAGCCAATATAAAAATGCGTGAGTTTCCATACGATCTTAGTGCAAACATTAGTTCAAGCTGGAAAAGCTTGTAATAAAATCAGATCTTTTTTCGATAATTGATAATAATATGTATTACAGTTATCTCCGTGCGAAAGGTAATGTGGGGCTTTTATCAAGACAGTTTGGAGGTACTTTTGAGTTATTAAAAAATGTCGTACAATGTTACTACCAGTCTTATAGGTAGTATAAATAACAACAGCGCCATGATGATTTCTGCCGAATGAAGAGATTCACCCTGTACCCTTCGGATCGGTAACATCATTGATAAGGTATCCTCACCAAGTAACATTGAGCAGGCCCTGCTATGCACACCCCCCAGCTGTGTAATACTCGTTATAACATTATGTTACATTGCTTTTCAAAGAAGGTCTCTGTTCCCAACTTATTTTTTGAAGAGGTCGAGTTAGCGTGCTGATATTCGGATTGTTGAAATTAATACATGGTGTTTCGAACTATGGAATCAAACTTGTAGGGATTATTCAGTGTAACAGTAGAAAACATTTGAGTATAGGGACCCATATCCGGAAAATTGCCACTACGGCACTACGGCCCTAAGACGCGTTAAAATTTAGAAAGACGATGCATTGTTGATGATTATTTGATTGGGCCATACCTTCTATCGGAACGGTTAACAGAACCTATTTACCGGCGTTTCTTGGAGGAAGTTCTTCCAGAACTTCTTGAAAACGTTCCATTGAACGTTCGACAGCAAATATGGTTTCAGCATGATGGAGCGCCGGCTCACTTTGCTGTCAAGTACGTGAGTATTTGGCTCAGTGGTTTGGGCATCGTTGGATTGCCAGAGGTGGAGCAGTTTCTTGGCCTCCTAGGTCACCCGATTTAACGTCGCTAGATTTTTTACTGTGGGGAGATGTAAAGTCTTTGTTTTACGAAACTCCAGTAGAAACAGAACAAGACTGAAGAATTGGACGAACTACAGCAGCATTTGAAATCATTCAAAACCAGTATTAAATTTTTAGTCAAGTGCGACGTTTAAATCGGTGTATTCAGGTTGGAGGAAGACGTTTTGAACAATTGTTGTGATGATATCATGTACAAAAGGCAAAAATTAAATGCATTAAATCCTATTTAGGCAATTCATCGTCTTTGTAAATGTTAACGCGTCTTAGGGCCGTAGTGCCGTAGTGACACTTTTGCGGATATGGGTCCCTATACTTAAATGTTTTCTACTGTTACATTGAATAACCACTACAAGTTTGATCCCGTAGTTCTGAAACCCCCTGTATATTGGCGTAAAAGTGGCAGTTGATAATCTCAAGGTGGCAGCTGGGCGCCATATTAAACATTTTTTTAAATGGTAATTCTCATTTCTTTTTTTTATTTCATAACTCTATAGTAAATAAATCAACAGCTTCTAAAACGGCGACTGACAGGCTGCCAAAGTTGATCGTTTTGGTACATTAAGTTGTTTACTCTGCTATTCAACAACCAATCATGAAAACGCTATTATATATTGTATCAATTTTTTTTTGTCTTGTAAGAATCTACCCGAATATGTAATATGGATCATTTCATTTTAAAAAATTATCACAATTTCATTTTTTCACTAAATGCCCAAAATTTTATTGCACATTCAGAAGATTGATATAACATACTATGAAATTTTGATCATTAGTTGTTTACAGCCTGCCTATCTCGTATTTTGAAGGATAGTGATTTTATATTCTGGATTTATGACATACTTCGAAGGGGCTTCAAAATGAGGTATTACACGATCCCCCTTTCCATTTAAGAAAATATCACCAAATTCAGCCCAAAGTCCATCTTGAAATTGTCAACTGTTGTTTTTAAGTATTCATGCGTCAATTTCACTATTCCGAATTTCAGCTTACTAACTTGACCCATTCAAAAAATAAGTTGGGGTACCTTGATAAAACTATTAATACTCTCAGAAAGAACGCATGTTTTTTAAATGAGTAGTACAGTGAAAATAAGCATGGGAACAATAATTTATTATATCAAAATACTCAGAAATACATGCCATTTTTTGAGCAAAACAAAATTTACGTTCTAAAAATTATGTCGGCTACATGGCGCCCTTGAGCCGAAATGCAGGAATCAAGCCTCTCCCGAAATGAGCCAGCATCCGTGCAGGAAATTGGGTTACTTCTCTTCTTATTTCCTCCTTCAAATCGACGATGGTCCGAGGCTTTCTTTGGTAAACTTTTGATTTGAGGTAGCCCCATAAAAAAATCACACGTTGACAGGTCCGGGGAACGAGGGGGCCATGGAATATCGCCATGACGTGAAATGAGACGTCCTGAGAATTTTTTCCGAAGAAGTTCCATTGAAGTTCCAGCTGTGTGAGATGTTGCCCCGTCTTGTTGGAACCACACTAATCTGGGACGGACACGTCGACGTCGAAGTTCCGGAAAAAAAGTTGTTCCGCATTTCTCCATCTATCATCCTCAAAAAAATAAGGGCCAATAATCATCGTTCGGCCTACCGCACACCAAACTGTAACTTTCGGGGTATGCAGGGGGTGCTCATGCAACTGTTGGAGGTTCACTGGAGACCGATACCGACAATTTTGTTTATTGACGTATCCATGTGAATAAAAATGTGTTTTATCACTCATAAACAACGTCATGTCATTGTTATCCAACTGTTCAATCATGAGCTGTGCAAAATTAACACGTTGTGCATAATCCCCTGGCAACAGTTGTTGACAAACTTGGATTTTGTAAGGATGGAAAACTAAATCCTCCTTCAAGATGCGACGTACAGAGGACGCGTGGATCCCTAGGGAACTGGCACGCAAACGGAGAGAACGATTCGGGCTTTGCAGCGTCAACTTTCACTCTGTCTACGTTTTCGGGGGTTCTAACAGTTCGGTTTCGCACTGTCGGTTTTTTCTTTATCGCATAACCTGTTATGTTGAATGCTTCCACCAATCTGTGTTAGGGTCTGGACTGTCCCACAATGTGGAACACGAAAGTGAACGCAAAACTCAGGTTGCGTTCGAACGACAGACTCGCCATTTTGAAAGTTCCGACGTACCGTGCTCAACGTTCCAAACCATCTTGCCATCTGAAACGACACTTCTCCCACTATCCAACACGCCCTTCCCCACCGACACGGGACCAGCCCACTCGATGTAGTACCCATTCGAAAAGCATGCGTTCTTTCTGACGGACCCTGTATAATAATGTATAATAATGGCTTTCTCCACCGAGGCATGTATATAATGTTCCACTACTAAAGATGGTATATTAAAACATTTAATTTGATTAGACTTTGCAATATAGCATATCTGAGAATTTTCTGAACGTCTGGCAACACTGTCCGAGTAAAGCGCACTGCCAAAATTGTTATACGAGGGATGTCTTTTAAGTTTTGCATATGGAATTAAAACAACACGGTAGGTAGTTTTAAATGACTTTATTATTTTTCGAAGTATTCTCCACGAAGATTAATACACATCTGCTTGCGCTCGAACCAATTTTCGAAGCACTTATTCCACTCGTTTGATGGCAGATCCAAAACGGCATTTTTGAATGCGTCAACTGCTTCTTCTGGTGACTGGAACCTTTGACCACGCAGTCTGTGTTTAATTTTCGGGAAAGTAAAGAAATCGTTAGGACTTAGATAGGGACTATATGGAGGATGGTCCAGTAATTCCACGTTTTCTTCTGTTAAATACTGCCTTGTTTTTTGGGCTGTGTGCGAGCTTGCATTGTCTTGGTGGAGGATGATTCTTCTTTCGGGGTTGATTTTTCGAAGCTCGGTGATGACTTTTGGCAAACAAATGATGGTATACCAACCCGCAGTAACAGTTCTTTGCTCATAAAGAGGAATTGTTGCAATATGACCCGCTTTTGACACAAATGTCGCGACCATCTTTTCGAAACATTTCGAGAACAGCCGACTGTCGTTTATTTTCTGGTTCATAATAGTAAATCCTCGATTCATCACCACTAACAATGCTGTACACATTTTTTCAGTTTCCGGAATTGAAACGGTCAAGTGTTTTTTGACACCAATTAACCCTGGCTGCTTTCTGCTCTTCAGTCAACAGGTGGGGTGTCCAACAAGAAACTAATTTTCTTACTCCTAATTCTTCATGTAAAATTTCTTGAATTGAGGTCTTTGAGATCTTCAAGGACGCCTCAATCTCACGATATGTCACATGTCTATCTTCAATGATGAGCTTGCGCACAGCATCGACGTTTTCCTGGGTGACTGCCGTTTTTGATGCACCCACCCTGGAATCGTCGCTAAGACTCACCCGTCCACGTTTGAAATCTCCATACCAACGGGAAATTGTCGACTGATGTGGCGCTTCGTTTCCGAAAACAGACAGTAACTCAGCAAAGCATTCTTGTTGCGATAATTGTCCCTGAAAGTTGTAATAAATTATGGGGCGAAAATTCCCGGTTGAGTTCCATTTTTCTAATGACTTGGTGACACTTAAAAATTCACTGTCGTGAGAACACTGCACGTATTGTTGTGAAACTTTGAATTTAAGTTTACTAAAGAGTGAGGTTAAGATTCAGTACTGACGTTCGATCCGCGCGGCCTACTATGTTTCTATATGCAAAACTTAAAAGACATCCCTCGTATAAATGCAGTCAACAACATAATTCTAGTGATACAATTGACTCTGTATTTACTTTTAGGATATACAATAATTATTAGAGATATTAAAAGATGAAGGATTTAATAGCAGTGAGAGTTATGTGCCTAGCAAGGCAAAGACGCTACACATGAAATCACCCATTCGTTATTTATGTATGAACTTTTTCATTATCATTACTGACCTATGGGGAGAAATGTAACTTCTCCTTCCAATATATGGCAAAAATTAAGTCTTACTACTACTAGCTTGAAATAAGTGAGCAGTTAAAACGTTCTGTTATTTGATGGAATTCAGCAAAGCAACCTTTGTTAGGTTTGCTACAACATGAGCCCACCACTTTTACACGGACAAAATACTGCAGATAGCAAATTAAATACGACTGGTGCATTTGGGCAAAGTCTACAATCTGTTGCAGCATCGGTGGCAGCCCAAATTTGATTCTCTTTTAAGTTGCAGTCAAGTGTTGCTCGTCATACGGTCGGCACGCCAGCAACTTCTTAGATTGAAAGTTGCTTTTATACAAGTACATTAGACATTTGCTGCATCCAAAATAGAGAAATTTTGAATCCCACTTGCCATTTTTGCAAGACGCCACTGGTACAAGGTTTAATTAAAAGACGTGCTATAGACTTCAAAGAAAGTGGGCGTGTTGAATTTTGAAAAAATCACCATAAATTGTTTTTATTGGTTATTGACAGTGAGAAAATTGGTAAGGAATCGATAGTTGCTTCGTTTTGTTTCTTTGCGCACTTGCTCAGCAGGGCACCTAATTTATGGTTTAGCCGACCGTCGAAGCTGAATTGATATGTTCGTTACAATCTATGGTACATAAGATCCAGGTATTTACAATACGTGGGTGGATCATCTTGTTCGGCTGCTTACTTGTTTTTTGAATTAAAGCATTCAGGCTCCATTGACTCCCTCCTACTTACTTCCCAAGGTTCCACTGGGTTGTATCAACAGCTACCACAATTTACCGAATCCCAATTCTTCAGCGCAGTAGGGTATAACGCTAACTGGGAATGATCACAAACTGTGACAATTATTGACATTTGTCAAACAGGTTTGTGAATACATTTCCAGTTAATATAGTCCCAGGCTCACCATTTTGTTAAGCGTTTCATCACAAAGATAACTTCTTTAGAGATAAGTAAATAAATAAATAAATAGCGTTTATTGCCCAACAGTTAAGGAAACCATTTACAGGACAATCCTAAGATAAATCAAAATAACAAGAACTGAAAACACAAAAAGCAGGTGATTTCATCTAAAGAAAAAAACAAACAAGAAAAAGAAGCAAAAAAAAAACATATTTCACTCAGGTGAGTAACAATTTTATGGTCTTTCTGACAAGCCACTACATTTCTTCGATTCATATTTGCGCAATCGTACCCAGAAGGTGAAAACACGTAAGGCTCTGTGTTGGGACCATTACTCTATTTAGTTTATACTTTTGATCTACATACTTGCCTTCAGCATTGTAATATTCACACGTATGCAGATGACACGCAGCTAACTCTGTCTTTTGATTCTGTGGACATGCATGAAGCATCATATAAATTGAACTTAGATCTAGTTAACATTGAAGAGTACTGCAAAAGACATTGTCTGAAGATCAATGCTTCAAAATGTTCCACCATGCTATTTGGCCCAAAATAGTTAGTACAACGGTTAGATGGCACAATTGTTCCTAGTCTTAACGAAACCCATATTCCTATAGTAGACCATGCGAAGTATTTAGGGATCACCATGGAATCGCCATATTCTGAATTTCAAGACTCGCAAAAAACTGGCTGAGACTCTGGTTCTATCGTTAATAAATTATTCAATTGCTGTTTACTTTCCTTGTCTTGATTACGTGACTAGATATCGAGTCCAAAAAATTCAAAATAGCTGCTGTAGGTTCGTTTGTGGTCTGCGAAAGTTTAGCCATGTGTCTAAGAAGATCAATGAGCTTAGATGGTTGAGGGTTGACCAGCTTTTCACATATAATTTACTAATTTTAGTACAACGAATAAAAATCAATAGGCTACCTACTTATCTACTAAAAAGGCTGGTACCACGTGGGGATCTCAATTACAGGAACCTCAGACATAACTCTGACTTCAATATACCTAGTTATAGGAGCAACATTTTCCCTCGTAGCTTCACCTACAACGCTGTCAAGGTGTATAATAGTCTTAATGACAATTACAAAAAGAAGGGAATACTTGCATTCAAGAGAGCCATTAAGAACCATCTTCTGGGGTCTGCTAGCCAAGCTGGCTGATATTTTTTTTGTCTTTATTGTTTTTTTTTTTTGTTAGAGCGGGCTATGTAGAATAGATGTACAACATATTAAGATTAATCTATTTAAGCCTTAATTATTGTATATATTATTTAGTCGATTGCTATTCATTGTTATATCTTTCCTTTTGTATGTGTTCCTGCGCTGTGAGGTTAAGTGGTAGAGTAGCCAGCTGGCTAAACTTCGCCTCGCAGTGTGGATGGATTAATAAAGACATTATTATTATTATTATTATTATTATAATTTATTATATCATAAGTTATCCAAGCAATTTCTAGCTATTCCCAGAATGCTGTTCAAACTGTCAGCATGTATGTCACAATAATTTGATATTGAGGCACTCCCGATTTTTTCCTGGTACGACTTGAATCCATTAAAAGTAACATATTGCTTCCTTTCATGAAGATAACTTTGATGAATGAAATCCATAATAAAAAAGTTTATTCAAAAGCATACCATGGTCCACAATATCGAACGCTTTAGCAAAATCGGTATATACTACATCTAGTTGACCTTACCGATCGACACATTCAATAGCGAACTGAGTGAAGATTGTTAAATTAGTTACTGTGGATCTCTTAGTAAGAAATCCATGCTGAAAATGTGACAGAGATCTATGAACTACGGAGTAAATTCTATTATGCCATATTATCTCCAGCAATTTGGAGAAATTCGACAATATTGCCACCGCTCTATAGTTTTTAATATCCGTATTATCCCCTGATTTGAAAACAGGTGTCGCTGTAGAAAGTTTAAAATATCAGTGATGTGTTGGTTTCTGTAGTCAGATTGTATATTTTTAATAACGGCTTAACAAAGACATGAATACAATCTTTGATTATGAACGAGGGGATGTTGTCTTTTAGATGCAACATTAATCTCATTTTCATGAATGTCGTTGAAAAATATGTTAACCTGACTAGTCGGATTCCTGCCTTCAATAAAATCATTACGAGTAGATGGATCAACAAAAACACTATTAAAAAATCTGCAGATGCATTGACAGCACAGTAAGGATCATTCAGTGAGAAGTCATTCAACTTCATTTTACCAGGAATCCTAGTAGTTCGATTTTTTGTATTAATGAAACTCCAAAAATGTTTAGGATCTTGAGAGATGGAAATCTCAACATTACGTGTATAATTTGTATAGGCCACAGACATTTGACGCTTTACCTCAGATCTAAGATGTTTTTACTGATGAGACTGATGGACGACGTTGAAACTGACGAGACTGAGTCTGGGAGCAAATCTGTTCTGTTCAAAATACAGACAAAATAACCACGTTTACTTTCTCTCAATGATTCTGCACCCTGGCTTTCAACAATAGGGGGCCTGGTAAAGCGTTGGTCTTCTATAGCTAATGTAAAGAAAACTCTTTTGGATTGTATCACCACCTTCTTCAGGACCCTTGAGCTTGAAAAGGAGGGAGTAGAATCACTGAGAGAAAGTGGGCGTGGATCTCTTGCTTTTCGGGGAGCTGTATCTCTGAGCGTTGATAGAATAGTCAGTCCCTGAGTGATTCTCTGAAGAAAAAGTGCATTGTGTTGTAACATTTTATGATATGCCTAAATTAAATGAATTCTCGGATGGTTTCGGTGCTAGGCAGTTGAAAAGGAAGTACTTAACTGTTTCATACTCTTATTCACATTATTTATGCAATGATGTATCGAGAAAATAGTCACCGAAGAGGTTTTCTATCCCAGTTGGCGTTCCAAGGAGAGCTGTTATTCAATTTATGGACACCCGTGGCTATGAAAGGGGATTCTACTCCAGTGCCCAGAGGTTTGAGGCAATCAGGGATTTTCTATTCCTCTGCAAAAAGATCCTATTAAATATATCTAAGGAGGTCCGAGACAAGTTAAAGAGATCCGAGATAATTCAATGAGATCAGAAGTATTCCAAGACAATCAGTGTATCTCCTCATGCACAGGCGATCCATTTTGGTCGAGGAGTTCTTAGGAAGTCCAAACAAGACTGTTATTCCAAAAAAGTGACA